ATTTTTATGAATTACATGGAAACGTGATTAGTAGGGAAATGGTTGAGAAGTGAATTTGGTAGGAAAATGTAAAAATAATTGTTTGGTTGGAAAAAAATTTACTGGGAAAATTAGGTAATTTTTGTAAAGTCTATGTTTGGCTTTTGGTAAAATATAGATGGAGAAATAATGTGCTATGACGAAAATACCCTTGTTTTTATAAAATATTGGTTGTGAGCTTTCAGATTTAGGTAGCTAGGCAAACAAGGGGTACACTGGTCTTTTCTTACATATACGATGTGAGCAAATATGGAGGTTTTCAGAAATACAACCTACAAAAAGGGCAACTTTGGTCGGCAATATCAGTTGCAATAGATATGCAAATACGTTTGCTAGCTTTCAGATTTAGGTAGCTAAGTCAGGAACCACCTTGAACCAAATGATGTTTCTTATATTCCCACTTCTCATTTATCTATCATTCTCAACAGAATCCTTCAACCAAACAGCCCCTCAGAATCTAACAGGAAATTTTGTCTTATTGTCAATGTTTTGTCCTTTAGACAGAGATGTCTAGCCCAATTAGGCTAGTACGTTAATGTTGGATCTGGTGCCCTCTCCAAGGTATCTATGAAGGAGATACCCTCTAGTCAAGCAGATCACTGTGCACAGAATACTATAACGGCGTTAGCCAATGGGGTGTGTGTGTGCACATTGACAGTATAACAATAAGAGAGAGAGAATGTGTGTACCTTTAGGGTTTACCTTTGTATTTATAGAGGTTACCTGTAGGTACTGTGGATGGGCCTTTGGTTCCTACGGTGAGGGTCCAGGCCTGATAGCTATGTTGTCGTATTAGGATTAGTATCCTTGATGGATATCTATCCTTTATTAGCATCAATCCATATCTTGGATTGACCCTTGTTGGGCTTACTACTTAATAGGCCCATTATACGGGTCCATAACAGTTGCCTCTCAGCCTGGCTACCTGGGTATCCGGGTAGTCGGGATGAACTTATGAGTGCATCTCTCCAGTTTTTTACTCCCGAATGTGTTTGTGTTTTTGTAGACTTGCATGCTCCGCTTACGAGGGAATTTGTTTTCTAACGGGATGTCCTTTGCCCCCTTATGTCGACGGGTTGAGCATCAACCCGGTGAGATACTTTGCGTACCCCACTGTTTGGGCCGGGTACAATGTCAAGCTGTCGGGTTGCCTCCTAATGTCGACATACGTGTTGTTTTCGAGTGCTTACCTTCGTTATGTGCATCGCCATTTCCCTCGTATTGCCTTGCTGGTTGAGCGTCAACCGTATTGCTACTCCGAGTTAGGAATACAATTGAGTTGTTTAATCCCACTTGCGGGTTGCCCCCAAGCAGTATTCCTTATCTCGGACTGTATCTGCATATTTATTTGGCTGACAGTTGTGCATGATCCTGTCGGTGTTTTCATGAAGAACCCGCGTCGGCATTTTACCCGGGTTATTGGGGCATGCATGTATGCCTGTTGCTTCCTTTTGTAGCCGGGTAGAAGCTGTGCTGGAATAACCGTGAGTTGACTATTACCCCAGCGTCAGCTTCGAACTCGGTGAACAACTGTATGTTCATATACACCTTGTCTCATATGTAGATTTTCAAACTATACTCATTGCGTTGTGCCACGTGTTCCAACCCGCGTGCTTTAGCGTGCTGCAGCAGTTCTTATGTCGTCATTGCGTTTCGTGCGCATTTATTGCAGCATCGCTTCAGTTGTCTAATCATTTTTTTTTTGTGGGAAGTGGCAGTTTTGCCCTTGCCCCCTAGCCTCCTCTGCTCTATGATTTTCGCGCATGATGATTGCAGTTTCCACCCACGATCGTGGCAGTTATAAGTTGAGGGTGAAAGGACCTAAATAACCCTGACCTTTGCTATTCGCACTTCAGTGGTCACTTGCTTGGCTATATAAGCCCTCTTTCCCTCTTACATGCTTTCGTTTCGCTTTTGAGCATTGTGCACCAGCGTTAGTTGTTTGCTTTCGTGTGCATGTCTTCTAAGTCTTGTGCCTCATTTCTGCTTCGGTTCTTCATCTTCCTTCAACAGGTATTTCACATATTTTTAGCTTTTTGTTGATTCTGTTGTGCGACTCTGCGCTTTAACATTTGCTTGCTAGTATGCTTTTTAAATTTGAAGATGTATATGTTCCATCGTCGATTTTTGCTATTTCTTCAGAACCTGTGAAAAACTTCCATAGTTTTCCTCTTTCAGAAGTTGTATGTTCCCTCCTGTCGTGCTGATGGTCATCACCTTGCTTTTCTCCTCCTCCTCCCTTTGCTATTTGACATTTAGTGTTTTTCAGTTTTTGACCAAATGAGGGGGAAAAACTCTTTTTCTTCAGCTCTGTGTTTTAAAGGGCAGAGGGAGGAAGATCCTGATTTTTTCAAAAAGATTCCTCCAGGTGCTCGTTTTTGGCTTTGGGAGATTCCCAGGACCGAAGAAGAAGAGCAGGAAGCTATGCTTCGAGGCTGCCGTGGTGGTAGATCTCGGCGAAGGGACAGGGTGTCGAATAGGGAGTTAGGGTCTCACCGGGGTAGAGGTTGCTCTTCCCGGGATAAGTGTCTCATAAAAAATAGTCCTTCAGTTCCATCTTCTCAACCTGGGGATTTGCTTTCTTTCCCGCCCATGACCACTTCGGGTTCACGTTCCAACATCCGTTCTTTGCCCTATCCTTCCTCTGTCTCAGGAGGTGTCCCCTGTTACTCTTGCGTCTATCTGAGTTCTAAGCTTGTCGAGCAAGGATGTGACTCATTGGCCGAGTCCACTTTGGAAAGTTGCCGGCATGGAATTTTTGTTGGATCGATGTCGGCATCTGGTGGGGCCAATGATCCGATTACTATTTCTGACGTGCCCAGCTCTTCATCTTCTAGTGACTCATCATCTTCTAGTATTTTTGACGCAGGTATATCCATTCTTTCCTTCTGATTTAAACTTTTTTATTTTTCTAGGCATTTATGGCTTCTCCCCCTCAAGAGGTAGTAGAGGAATTTGGTTCTGCCGAGTCGCAATGTGGGTCTCCGCCAGCCTCATTGATATCCCAGTTTCCCTGGGTGACTCATGAGGTTTTGAATACCACGTCCGAGCTTTCTGCGGAGGACGTGGCTAGACTTT